CACCAGCCTCTGGGTCTTTGCTGGAGGCAAGGTCAGTCAGCCAGGCAACTGGTGGAAGAGGACCAGGGTGGGGCCTGAGCAGGACCTTGACTCCGAAGGACTTGGAGGAGGAGGACGAGGGAGTGGAGGCCGGAGTGGAGAGGATAGACTGGCCCTGAGGCCTCTGCATTCCCAGCCCGGGGGCCTGGACTTCCTGTGTTTGACTGCTGTTTGGGGCTGGCTCTGGCTGATGATTAATTAGGAAATATGCATTCTGAGGAGCTTCTGCCTCCCTGGGGTGTGAGGCCACATCCGTGTTTATAACACAGCCTGTGATGTGACAGAGACATTTCGTGAGGAACTTCTGGTTCTGGTGAGGCAGCATCAGGACTCTCTAGAGGCCAGACAAGAGTGTGTTCTTACGTTTGTGTGGAGGGAGGACCACAGCCACGAAGAAGCCTTTAGGAAATGAAGCTCCTTTGCTGAAGCTCTCCAGAGGGTTTACCTGTCGTCTGGCGTAAGACGACTCCAGTCTGTGGCTCCCCTGTGACAGGTGTTTGTCAAGTGAGTTTCTCCACAGGGCCCCTCAAGCCCCATACAGGCCGTTATCTGAGTTTCCCAGGAAAGTGCTGGACGTTTACACACATGATCTTCGCTTTCCAATTTCCACAGGGTTAAAAACTACAAGCGTGGACTTCTCTGAGAGTTCAGAAATTCCAGATGGTTTCTGATCAGTGAGTGTCGCTTTCACAGTGAACTGTTCTTGGGATGGGTTGAAAGCTGAGACTAGGCTGAAATTTGGTGGGCTGGGGGAGTCGGGATTCAAATAATAGAAAGTTTTAAAAAACTTTTACAGACTTCGAGGGTACAAATGCAGTTTTGTTACATGGAGATACTGTGCAGTGGGAAAGTCTGGGCTTTTGGAAATGACTGACTCATGACGTCTGCCGTTCATTGGACAAGCTTGTAAATGCCTTTTCCACCCTCTAATGAGATGCCTTAGGGAAAGTAGAATTGTCCCGAAGTCTCTGGAGGTTCCAAGAAGGCAGGCCCTGAATGCAAGGTGTTCAGAGCTGGAGTCTTCCGAGTGCAGGAGAAATGCCAGCGCCTTTTTATTGAGCCGTGGAGGTGTCCAGGGAGCCCATTAGCCCCTTACACGGTTTTTGTTACAGCTATTTCCTTCTTCTTTTTTTCTTTACTTAAAAAAATTTTCAATAGTTTTTGGGGTACCAGTGGTTTTTGATTCCATGAATAAGTTCTTAAATGGTGATTTCTAAGATTTTAGTGCACCTGTCACCCGAGCAGTGTACAGTGTGCCTAATATGCAGTCTTTTATCCCTCACCCTCTTCCTCCCTGAGTCCCCAAAGTCTATTGTGTCATTCTTATGCCTTTGTGTCCTCATAGCTTAGCTCCCACTTGTAAGTGAGAACATATGACGTTTAGTTTTCCATTCCTGAGTTACTTCACTTAGAATAATGGCCTCCAGCTCCATCCAAGTTGCTGCAAAATACGTTATTTCATTCCTTTTTTATGACTAAGTCGTAGTCCATGGTGTATATGTATCACATTTTCTTTATCCACTCATTGGTTGACAGGTATTTAGGTTGGTTTCGTATTGTTGCAATTGCAATTGTGCTGCTATAAACATGCATGTGCAAGAGTCTTTTTCATATGACGACTTCTTTTCCTTTGGGTAGATACCCAGGAATGGGATTGCTGGATCGGGTGGTAGTTTTACTTTTAGTTCTTTGAGGAACCTCCTGCTGTTTTTCATAGTGGTTGTATAATTTACGTTCCCAGCAGTGTAAAAGTATTCCCTTTCACCACATCCACACCAACATTTGTAGCTTTTTCTTTTGTGATAATTCTTGTAGGAGTAAGGCAGCATCTCACTGTGGTTTTAACTTGCATTTCCCTGATTAGTGATGTTGAGTATTTTTTCATATGTTTACTGGCTGTTTGTATATCTTCTTTTGAGAATTGTCTGTTCATGTTCTTTGCCCGCTTTTTGATGGACTTATTCTTTTTCTTTTTATTTTTTTCTTGCTGATTTGTTTTAGTTCCTTGTAGATTCTGGATACTAGTCCTTTGTTGGAGGCATAGTTTGCAAATATTTTCCCCCACTCTGTGGGTTGTGTGTTTACTCTGCTGATTATTTCTTTTGCTGTGCAGAAGCTTCTTAAATTAGCTCCTATTTATTTGTTTATTTATTGCATTTGCTTTTGAGGTCTCAAAGCATTTGCTTTTGAGGTCTTGAGCTTAGGCACACTTGCTTTGGAGTGTGCCTAAGCTAATGTCCAGGGCATTTTTCTGGTGCCATCTTCTAGAATTCTTAGAGTATCAGGTCATAGATTTAAGTCTTTCATCTATCTTGAGTTAGTTTTTGTATAAGGTGAGAGGTGGGGATTCAGTTTCATTCCTCTACGTGTGGCTTGCCAATTCTCCCAGGATCATTTATTTAATAGGGTGTCCTGTCCCCAATTTATTTTTTTGTATGCTTGGTTGAAGATCAGTTGGCTGTAAGTATTTGGCTCTATTTCTGAGTTCTCTATTTGTTCCATTAGTCTATGTGCATATTTTTATACCAGTACCAAGCTGTTTTGGTAACTGTAGCCTTGTAGTATAATTTGAAGTCAGGTAATGTGAAGCCTCCAGATTTATACTCTACAGTTGTTGGGAAGAATGTTCTGTAAATATGTGTAAGGTCCATTTGTTCTAGGGTATAGTTTATGTCCATTGTTTCTTTGTTGACTTTCTGTCTTGATGATCTGTCTAGTGTTATCACTGGGGTATTGAAGTCCCCCACTATTATTGTGTTGCTATCTATCTGAGGTGCATATACATTTAGGATTGTAATATCTTCTTGTTGGATTAATCCTTTTATCTATATAATGTCCTTCTTTGTCTTTTTTTTTTTTTCCGACTGTTGTTGCTTTAAAGTCTGTTTTGTCTGAAATAAAAATAGCTACTCTTACTTGCTTTTGGTTTCTGTTTGTGTGAAATATCTTTCTCCAACCTTTCACCTTGAGTTTATGTGAGTGCTTAGGTGTTAGCTGAATCTTTTGAAGACAGTAGATATTTGGTTGGTGTATTTTTGTTTTTTTAATCCATTCTGCTATTTTGTATCTTTTAAGTGGAGCATTTAGGCCATTTTCATTAGGTCAATATTGAGATGTGAGGTACTGTTGTATTCATCATACTAGTTGTTACCTAGATACTTCTATTTTTAATTGTGTTACTGTTTAATAGACCCTCTGAGATTTATGCTTTAAGCAGGTTCTATTTTGGTGCATATGAAACTTTTGTTTCAAGATTTAGAACTCCTTTTAGCATTTCTTGTAGTGCTGGTTTGGTAGTGGCAAATGCCTTCAGCATCTGTTTGTCTGAAAAAGACTTTATCTCTCATTTATGAAGCTTAGTTTTGCTGGCTATAAAATTCTTGGCTGACAATCATTTTGTTTAAAGAGGCTAATGATAGGACTTCAATCCCTTCTGGCTTATAAGGCTTCTGCTGAGGAATCTGTATGGCTGTTTCCCACCAAACTTGAGCAGGCACTTGTCCCCTATTCTGTTTGTTTTTGAGCTTCTTGCTGTTGCCCCAAACAGGACATTTTCTGGCACTTTTGAAGATTCCATTATCAAGCTGTTTCCAATAATCCAAAAATAAGGGGCTAAGTGAGATCTCAAATGCACCAATTTTCTTTCTGAGAGGACTAGCTTGGTGAGTCCTGGCTGATCTTCTGAGTATGTTTGCCTCTTGTCAGGACAGGGAGGAATTGGTGGGTGGCTAATCCTGTCTATTTAATACAATTTAATAAGACTAAAGACTTTAAGAAAAAAAGATTTTTCAACTAAGTGTAGGTAATTCAAGTCTGCTATAATGAAATGAATGAGAAGTTAAATCTCAAGTCCTGTTCAGACTACCCTACAGGGATATTAATGAACAATACCTGGCATATGTCTTTATTTAATTAAAGCAGCTTGTCTGATTTCAGTTAAACTTGAAATCAGCTTTATGACAGTGTTCCAACTGCATACGCCCTTCAAATGCTATCGCCTCTCAAATCCATAACTGTAGCAACCTCACTGCTTGGTTCCTGGAGCTCTGAGGGTGTTTTTGCACTGTCTGCCCTGTGATTCTGCTAGATTCTTCTTTCATACAGAGATGAAATGCAGATGACATGTGAGGATGTTGGCAGAATGGAGTGTTGAGTAAGTTAAGCAATCTGTTCTTAGTCTGTTGCCTGACTCTACCTGCTTGTCAGGGACTAGAAGTCTCTCCTAACATACCTTAATCTATTGCTGCGTTGTTTTCTATAACACTGGATTCACACTTGGCTGTGTCTTCTTTTGGTAAAATATGTAATTTTTAATAACTAGATGACTCAATTTCTCTTTCATCCTCTGCTAGAGCCTGACGTTCCAGGTGACTACTTGTGGAGTTGTGTTAATCGAACCTTAAAAATCAGTGAATGATTTATTTGACACTTCATAATTCCAGATTTTGGATCAATCTGGGAAGGCTGTGATTTCATTTTGGTTTGTATACAGCTGTTGTACAACTTGCTACTGAGGCATATTTGTAGGGATTTGCTGAGTCTATGGTAGATTATTGCAAGGGGCTGGGTCCCACAATGAAATGTTGCTGCAGCACACGTATTTTAAACCTTATATTAAATTACAGGCTGGGAGTGGTGGCTCATGCCTGTAATCCCAGCACTTTGGGAGGCCGAGACAGGCAGATCACCTGAGGTCAGGAGTTCAAGACCAGCCTTGCCAACATGGTGAAACTCCGTCTCTACTAAAAATACAAAAACAAATTAGCCCAGCGTGGTGGCGGGTGCCTGTACTCCCAGCTACTTGGGAAGCTGAGGCAGGAGAGTTGCTTGAACCCAGGAGGCAGAGGTTGCAGTGAGCCGAGATCGTGCCATTGCACTCCAGCCTGGCCAACAGAGTGAGACTTGGTCTCAAACAAACAAACAAACACAAACAAACAAAAAATTACAGACACGAGTAGTTATAGTTTGATGCATATGTTGAATTTTGCTTTCCAAAGACCTTGGAGAAATGAAGGGGTGGAAACCCCACATTCTTTCTCGAGGCTGTGAATACCAGTAATGCACTTAAATGCTAAACGCGGGTCACGGGCCTGAGCATCTTTGCTGTCCTTCACGCTGACACTCTGGGTTTCATTCAGTAACTTGGGTGAGATGTCCGCAGATCAAGGTGTGGCAGTGGTTTTCCCATCACGGTTTCAATTCTTGTATTTTTTGTTTCTGGGTTAGCTGTGGGATCTGCCTTCCAGGGCCTATCAAAATGAAAGGAGACTGGAGCCATGGATGTGTGTTGTCAGCACATTAGAAAGTCTCTCCTCAAAGTCCCTGATGGGACCTGGCACCTTATATTCTGGAGGGATGGGTGGACTAGCCTCGCAGGGCTGTGGAATGTGTGTAGATGCCAAAGCTGAAATGAGAACCGTTCGGGTCACTGGACTCCACTCATTGGTGCTGCGGAGGAATGTTTGCAATAAAGAGACCCTTTCCTGAGGCTGAGGAGTGTTGTTTTGCAGGTGGTTCGTGACATAGGTGATCTAACCCTGAATCTTCCAGGAGGACACAACAGTACTGGTGAGTGTCTTGGATAAGCGTCTCCTAGGGAAGAGAAAAAAGCAAACAGAAAAAAATGCAAGGGTGGAGGGTGACCAAGAGGACATCAACGAACAAAGGGGGTTGGAAGGAAGGAATAAAAGGTATACATGGAAGAATCCTCATGTGCTGTCAATGGTCTGGCCAGGCCTTACCCCGTCTATCCTGACCTCCCTGAACTCTGACCTCACTCCGTCCACCCACCCCTCGCTCTGCCACAGAGCCTTCTCTGCAGTTGGTCAAGCACAGCAGGCACAGTCCCCCTGAGGGCCTTAGCACCTGCTGTTTCCTCTGCTGGGAAAGTTCTTCCTGTAGGTGTCCAGTGCGGTGCCTGTTGTCTAACCTCATTCGCTGTGCATGGTGCAGCTTCGCGGGGGCCTTTCTCTGACCACCCTGTTTGAAGTGGTAGCTGGTCCCCCTCCTTGTCCTGTTTTTCCCCACACCTATTGCCACCTTCTAATAGGCCATGTCATCTATGTATTCATTTGGTTGCCTGTCTTCCCTTTTGAGACTGTGAACTCATGAAGGCAGGAGTTTTTTTCTCAGGGATTAGTGACTGAAACAAATGTAATAAGCCCATGCTCTGCATTTTGGTCAGTCATTCAGAGGTGAGTCTACACCATCTGCATCCCTTCATGATGCAGGTGGGCTTGCGGGTGGGGTAAGACCATTTCATCCAGTTATTCTCAAATTTGACCAGGCACCAGAATCACCTGGAGGGCTTCTTTAAATCCAAAATTCTGGGCCCACCCCAGGGGTTTCTGATTCAGGAGGTCTGAGGTGGGCCCAGAAATGTGCATTTTTTTTTTTAAGAGTCTCGCTCTGTCACTTAGGTTGGAGTGCAATGACGTGATCTCTGCTCACTGCAACCTCCACCTCCCGGGTTCAAGTGATTCTCCTGCCTCAGCCTCCTGAGTACCTGGGATTACAGGTGCACACCACCACACCTGGCTAATTTTTGTATTTTTAGTAGAGATGGGGTTTCACCATATTGGCCAGGCTGGTCTCGAACTCCTGACCTCAGATGATCCACCTGCCTCAGCAAGTGCTGGAATTACAGGTGTGAGCTGCTGCACCCGGCCTGTGCTTTCTAACACTTCCCAAGAGAGGCTGCCACTGTCTACACTGTGATGTGCCGATCTAACGTGTCCACGGGCACACACCAGCTGGGGGGTGGGGGAGGGGTGGCACAGAAGACTTCTGAACAGTAGATGCTCGTCAGTGATGGGCGGTTACCTGCTCGCTTTATTTTCCCAGGGCCAGGGAGAACATATGGAGGTGCAGAGCTACGGGAAAGCTGTCCTGACCGTGCTGGTCGTCCTGGCTGGGCTGGCAGGTAGGGGTCGCCTGAGCTTTGTGGGCTGTTCACCAATGTTCGCTTGGAGTGTTGGGGGAAGACGAGGGCCACAGGAGGCCTCTGGAACACACAACTGCCAGAAGAGTCTTTCTCAGCCACTTCCCACTGCAGACCTTCCCATGGCGACCTCTTCTGTGTGACCCATTTCCTCCTGCATCGACTTGACTCCCAGAACGGTCCTTCAGGTGCATGGCATCTCCCCCCATCCTCATCGGGGCCATCACTGTCCTGGGAGTCTGCCTTCGGTTCCTTCCCACAAGTGGTTGCACCTGCTGAAATGTCCCTTCCCCTCCCTGGTTTCTCACCTCTTCAATTTCTCTCTGGCCTTCAAGGAAAACCTGACTCAGAAATCACCTCCTCCCTGAAGCCTCCTAACCCTTGCCATTTTCAGGGCGAGAATCCCAGTTTCCATTTACTGACACGGGAAGGGTTCTGTTGTGTGTGACACACTCCAGCGCTCTCCAACGGTGTCAGCTGGAGTGAACTCCTGCGTGCAAGGCCTGGGTCTCCTGGTCAGACTACTTTCTATGCGAGAGGCATAGCGTATAGTCTGCGGTGCTGGGAGGAACTGGGGTTTTCACAGCCAGCTTTGGTTTTCATTAGGTTTGTTTAGTTTCCATTGCTTCAGGGGGGTGTTAGTTTTGTGTTCCCAACTAGATAGTAAACTCCTCTTGCATTCCTGATGGCAGTGACTCGAAGGCATTTATTTGAAGAATAACAGACGTACAGAAAGGGGCACATTTCATAAAGGTATAGCTGGGTGACTTTTCACAAAGCGAGCATATTTGTATGATCGACGTTGAGGCCAAGAACCTTCAATGGACAGCTCCCTTCCAGGCACTCCACCCCACTCCCAGTGATCATCATTCTGACTTCTTTTTTTGTTGTTGTTGTTGAGACAGAGTCTCGCTCTGTTGCCCAGGCTGGAGTGCTGTGGCTGGATCTCGGCTCACTGCAAGCTCTGCCTCCCGGGTTTACGCCATTCTCCTGCCTCAGCCTCCCTAGTAGCTGGGACTACAGGCGCCCGCCACCTCGCCCGGCTAGTTTTTTGTATTTTTTTAGTAGAGACGGGGTTTCACTGTGTTCGCCAGGATGGTCTCAATCTCCTGACCTCGTGATCCGCCCGTCTCGGCCTCCCAAAGTGCTGGGATTACAGGCTTGAGCCACCGTGCCTGGCCCATCATTCTGACTTCTAACTGTGTAGACACATTTTGCATGTTTTGTACTTTACAAACATATCTACTCTATTTTAGGTGGCTAGACATTGTGTTTTACAATTCTGGCCATGACAGTGTTTGAAAGAATAAAATGGATAAAATAGAATGGGCAGTAGCAGAGTATGTTGCCTGCCTAAGAACTGTTTTGTGACATTTTGGCTTTGGGTCTGTTTATACATTAAATCTAAGAGCACCAGAATGTGGTGCCAAAATGTGTTTGGGGATGAAGATATTCTAAAGGCCTGCAGCAAGCAAAGCAAAGTGTTCCAGAGGTGGTTGTTAAACATTTGTTTGTAGAATGGAGAGGAAGACAAGGTCCCTGCTTGTATAGAGCTTAGGGACTGACTGTCGGGTTAACAAACCACCCTCAATATACATCTTAGGCATATGGCATTGTATGGGCCTATTTCAGCCATGGTTACAAAAAACTCTTCCAAAGGTTTGGTGGGCAATGGATGAACGCTGGGTCTAGTGTTTCTGAGACACTTTTTCCTGAAAAAGCTGAGGCAGGCTGGTTGCAGTGGCTCATGCCTGTAATCCCAGCACTCTGGGAGGCCAAGGTGGGCAGATCACAAGGTCAGGAGATCGAGACCATCCTGACTAACACGGTGAAACCCCGTCTCTACTAAAAATCCAAAAAATTAGCTGGGTGTAGTGGCACGCACCTGTAGTCCCAGCTACTTGGGAGACTGAGGCAGGAGAATCACTTGAACCCGAGAGGCGGAGCTTGCAGTGAACTGAGATCGCACCACTGCACTCCAGTCTGGGCAACAGAGCGAGACTCCGTCTCAAAAAAAAAAAATGCTGAGGAATATGTGCTGTTTTGAGGGCATGGAGGATCTGGGTTGAGGCCTGGAGGTGGCTATTTCAGGAGAGGAGAGTATATGTGGGCTAATTCTAGAGCTCCTGAATGTCCATCCCCAAATTTGTAATGAATGCAAATTTGTAATGAATACCAAAGCGTTCAAATGCTTCATGTTGGAAAGTCTTATGGGTAGAGTCATTTTCATTTGTAGATATCACTCTGAGTATCCATTATCAACCTGTGTGTGCATGCGTAATACTCTTCCCAGCCCTCTCGTTGCCACCTTGCCTACTGTATAATGGGTTATATAGAACTCAACCAACATGTTTATTCCCTCAGTACATAATCACTAAGCAGTTGTTATGGACCACTTCTTTACCTGTCATGTGACGCTGTGCCAGAATCAGGTTGGAAAGCAGGCCGCATTATATAGGGTTCAATGAAACCCCTCTGATGAGACTTTATGGTTTGTAAGGTGGACTCCCCAGCCCCTTAGATAAGAATTTGGGCAAGAGAAGAAAAAGATCAGCCTTCGGTCCTTAGTGACAACCTTAGCTAGTGGCCACAGGGAGGTTCCCAGGCAGGAGGAGACATTGATCTTTCCCAGTGCTCTGCCCCCATCTGACTGTCTGCTCTATAAAGCAAAAGGGAGAGGAAAGAGGAAGGGGAGGTTTTAAGTGAGGCAGGTGATTGTTGGATTCAAGGTCTTCTTTACAGTTTTCTCCTATTCTGTATAGGGGAAGGTTACCGCCGATAAGACACAGCTGAGAGAGGGATGAGCTCCCAGGACCTAAAGTGACCAGAAATACGGCTCCTGAGTCTTGAGGCACAGCTGTAGCGTGGTTTACTTAGGGTTTGTTCTAGCAAGGACATTAACCTTCCTCTAGTGTTTATTCTGAAGAAATGTTTGGCTAGCCTTCCTCATCTCACTGCCTGATCTTGCAGTGTAGAAAAATGCTGATCATTGCGGCTCTTAAACAGTTAGAGCTAAATGCCTAGCTAAACACACGTTACACAGTCAGGGGAATTTGGTGTTTAGAGTTGGATACCTCCTGTTTCACCTGAAAGTCGAATCAAAGTCAAGGAGTTTCCATCTGGTGCAGCTCCCTCCTTCCTCCTTTTCATCTCCCAGCTGCAGAACAGGGTTATGTGGGCTGCACAGATTGTATGATTCCGTAGTGACACGTGTGGCCTCCAGGGTACATAAAGACTGGCCTTGGAGTGAAATAATCTCAGCACTTCTCACAAGGCATTGGAAGGAACTGTGGTTTCAGAGGGATGCTGGTTCTGTTGGCGCTGCATGGCCCGGGCTTCTCACTGGGTAAGGCTGGGGCTCACCCATCCATCATCCCCACACTCACCCTGCTAGGCTCTGTCCACTCGACTGCCATTGACCCAGGGTGGGAGTGCAGGGGGAGTGTGGTTATTACAGCATGGACCCTTGGGGCGCAGACTTGGCTATTTTCTCTTCTTCTTAACAAGCAATTCAGAGTTCATGGAAAGGGCATTGCGGCTTCCCTGGGGGAATTGTTTTTAAATTCCATTTCTCACACTTAAAACAAAAATCAAAGATCAAAGAGATCTTGGATCAGAGAGATTTGCTGTGAGGTCAGGGAGAATACCTAATCTGAGTTGTGTTTTAAAGTCATACTTTCTCTCTCTCTGTTTTTTTTTAAAATGATGTCCGGGGACAAAACAAAGAGTAGTAATCATGTTTATCCAAACGCTGGCTTAGCCTTAGTGAACTCTCACCTTCTTCAGTTCTGCCTCTCCCAAGCCAGTGGGCCCCTCCTCCACCATGGCATCCTCGCCTGCTGGTCCTGCTTCTGGAGGGAACTGTTCCTGGTGGCGGCTTACTCCTTCCCTTTCACCTGTCGTTCTTGCAGGGGCAGTTTGGCCCCCATGATGTGCCTGGGTACGCAGGTGAAGTGCTAATGTGCTACTGTGTGTCCAACGGTGTGATTCCTCCCCAGAAACCTTTAGGGCTATAATGAGATTCTTTTAGAACCTGCCGTGCCATTTTTTCAGACAGAGTCTTGCTCTGTTGCCCAGGCTCTAGTGCAGTGGCACGATCTTGGCTCACCACAACCTCTGCCTCCCGGGTTCAAGTGATTTCCTGCCTCAGCCTCCTGTAGCTGGGCTTATCGGCACCCACAACCACACCTGGCTAATTTTTGTATTTTTAGTAGAGACGGGGTTTCACCATGTTGGCCAGGCTGGTCTTGAACTCTTGACCTCAGGTGATCCGCCCACCTCGGCCTCCCAAAGTGCTGGGATTACAGGTGTGAGCCTCTGCGCCTGGCCTGCCTTGCAATTTACAAGACAGAAGGAAAGGGAGGAGCTGCAGTTTTGGGTGCTACCCACTGTATATGATGGCAGGCTACCTGGTTCACCCACAGGGATCCCACAACACTAGAAGGTAGTAGGACGTGTTGCCGTCTCATTGATAGGGTGGGCACGAATGAGGAGAAGCCACGGTCTGTGCTGTGCCAGGGTGTCTTCCTGCTATAAACTCTGAATGACATCAGAAGAGAAAAGAGGATGAAATTCAGAGTGGGAAGGTCTGAGTTTGGGTCCCAGCCCCACTGCTGTGAATGCCAATCCTGGGATGTTGCCAGTTGGCAGAGTTGGTTTTTTATGGAGGCTCTGAGGGAGGGTCTTCCGTGCCTCTTCCTTAGCTTCTGATGTTGCTCCAATCTTTGGCATTCCTTGGCTTGTAGATGCATCACTCCGGTCTCTGCATCCATCCTCACATGGTGTTCTTCTCCGCAGGCCTCTGTGTCTCAAATCTCACTCTGCATTTCTCTTGCAGGGACACCTGTGATTGGATTTAGGGCCCATTCTAAACCCAGGTCGATTTCATCTTGAGATCCTTACCTAATTACATCTGCAAAGACCCTATTTTCAAAGGTTCCATTCTGAGGATCCAGTGGACATGTGTTTGGAGGAATACTACTCAACCCAATACAGCTGTAGAGTTAGGGGGTAGAGTGGAAAGGAGGGCATGGCCGTGGCTTCCACCGGAAGCTCCTGATCTGCCGGGGAGAGCTGGTGTTAGGATCCAAAAGACACAGAGTCTGAGCCACTGGATGGTAACCCTGGGGGTTACCACTGATAAATACAGAAAGGTTACAGCACACAGTTGATTTATGGAGATCCATTCATTTACCAACTTGAAAAATTGGCTGCCTTCCAGGTTCTGGATCCGGTAATGAAGTCATAGAAGGCCCCCAAAATGTAACAGTCTTGAAGGGCTCCCAGGCTCGCTTCAACTGCACTGTCTCGCAGGGCTGGAAGCTCATCATGTGGGCTCTCAATGACATGGTGGTGCTGAGCATCAGGCCCATGGAGCCCATCATCACCAATGACCGCTTCACCTCTCAGAGGTACGACCAGGGTGGGAACTTCACCTCGGAGATGATCATCCACAATGTGCAGCCCAGTGATTCGGGGAACATCAGATGCAGCCTCCAGAACAGTCGCCTGCATGGATCTGCTTCCCTTACAGTCCAAGGTGTGTATGCAGGTGGCTTCTGAATGCCACATCTGAAGTCCATCGGGTTAAATGTCAGAGGGCAGGAAGAACCTTCTAAAGTTCATGCTGCGTATGATGGCAGATGTGGTCTACCTTCAGTTGGTGTTGACGTACAATCATTCTGAACTGATGAATGCTTTGTGGTTTGTCGCCTCCTTCCTCCCTCATGCTCTCCCTGCCTCCTCCCTTCCTCTTCCCTTCTCCCCATCTCTTTCTTCCCTCCTATGTGCTCTAGCCTTCAGTTGGCAGTAGGCTTAGAATTATTCTGGATGGACTAATGTTTATTGTTTTGTTGATTTATCCCACTTCTTCCTCACTTCCTCCCTTCTTTCCCTTTTTCCTGCTTCATTCCCTCTCTCCTTCCATCTTAGCTTTCCTTCTTTTTTTTCTGGTTAAGACTAATAGAGACAGATTTTATCACTTCCCCTTTGAATCCATTTCAGTATTTAATAGCCTTTCTGGAAATATATCCTGCAATTCTTCTGGGGCTAGTCGCAGTCATTTTTCTTTGATTTAGAGACAGTTGGCAATCACTGCCCTTTCTCTAGTTTTTCCATGTACATGACCATATTTCTCTGCTTACATCATTTATCAACTCTGAAGTATGCTTTAACTTTTTCGTCTTCCCAGCAGAATCCCCCCAACTTATTTCTGTACCCTGCCTTCAATTACAGTAGGATAGTTACTACAGTCAAAGTTGTGTGTTCACTAAATATATCGTCATTGAGAGAAAAGGAAAGAATAAACAAAATTTATAATAATAGATAGCTTATTTTTCATTTTAGAGGTAATTTGGAGGCACTGAAGATAATGTTTCACAGTAAAAAAGGAAAAGGATGCTTTACAAAGATTTGGAAGAGTCGTACCAAAATTTAGTCACTTTGCATTCTTTACAAGTGTATTTATACTCTACTAAGATAGAGAGTTCCTGATTTCTATGGCAGCATTTCTTATAAGAGGATATATTATATCTTATAAATTCTTTCTTATCTCTATGTATTTACTTGTCTGGAGAAATTCCCAAAGATTTTGTTCATATTTATGTTGCTATTAAATCAGATTTCATAACCTTTGGTGGAGACATGTTTACCTATTTCTATTTGTGCTTTAAAAAATGTTTGCTTCCTTTAGAAATTTAGCTAAATCGGTATGTCTTTACTTTTGTGTGTTTTTAATTTTGTGTAGTTTAATTAGGGGCACAATTGTATTTTCTAAATAAGTGATTTTATAAGGCTATTTAGGACTGTTGGCCTATTTTGCACGACCAGATTCTTGTTATGATAATTTGTGATGTAAGAGAAAGAACAGAGGAAAAAAGAATCAAAGATATAAATTCTGGTTTTGGCTTCATCAGTTATCTATCAGACAGACCCCTGAGATGGCTCAATTTCTTCATTTTTAACCTGGAGATGAATCTTCCCAGCCCACCTGTTTGCTGTGTGGATCGGGTGAAAAAATGACTAAAGATGGTTTGATGACTCCAAAGTCCTGTCTGATTTAATTCCCTGCACGTTAAGATGGGAGCCAGAGTGTTCTAGTGGTCAGGAGTGCAGACTTCGGGCTTGGCTGCCTGGGTCCATGTTACTGCTTTATGACAATTTGTGACCTGGGGCACAATTACTTAATGACTTTGAGTCCTAGTGTCCTCATCATAGGGCTGCTGTGGTGTCAAATGAGCAGGTCTATGTAAAGCCTTTACCACACCTGGTGCATAGCAATCACTGCATGGCCATTTGCTATTATTTATTGTGTTCCCAATTGTATTGGGATGCTATTGTATTTTTTTTTTTTTTTTTTGAGACGGAGTCTCGCTCTGTCGCCCAGGCTGGAGTACAGTGGCCGGATCTCAGCTCACTGCAAGCTCCGCCTCCTGGGTTCACGCCATTCTCCTGCCTCAGCCTCCGGAATAGCTGGGACTACAGGCGCCCGCCACCTCACCCGGCTAGTTTTTTGTATTTTTTAGTAGAGACGGGGTTTCACCGTGTTAGCCAGGATGGTCTTAATCTCCTGACCTCGTGATCCACCCGTCCCGGCCTCCCAAAGTGCTGGGATTACAGGCTTGAGCCACCGCGCCCGGCCGATGCTATTGTATTGGGTATTTAAGAGTGACTCAAAGAGGAATGGAATAAGACACAATTTCTTTCTTTTAAAACCTCACAAGAAGAGTGGATAATGCAAGTTGCACAAATAATAGGGATGCCAGTCACCCAGATGCTGGCAAGTGAGATGGAAGGGAGGCAAACTCGGGTTCCAATCAAGAGGGGAGCTTGACAGAGTCAATAAAGCCTTCACGGATGATTTCATGGAGAAGGTGCCATTGAAGATGTACTTTCCAGGTCTGTAGATGGTAGACAGAATGGGAAAGCAAGAGAGAAGGAGGGCATCTCTGGAGCAGGGAAACAGGATCACAGGCATGGCTTATTACTGCTATACTTATGACACATCACATTCAGAAACCATGTGGTTTTGCAGCATGTTTTCCCAAAGTCACAAGTCTACAAATTTGTCTGAATCCCCCAACATGACTTTTTATATATTGGTAGTTATGGTAGTTTTTAGTTTTAATACAGATGGAAGAGCAAGCATTTAGAGGAGGCAAAGACGTCTCCAAGATATTGCGAGAGGAACCTATAGAGCTTGGACAGAACTGCATCCCTTTATCCTCGTGTCATTGCTCTGAATGGTACTTAGTTCCTAGAGGAGCAAATGTTCTCTGAGCAACAGGGTCTCCCTCAAGGGAGAAAGAATCTTGAAAAAAGAGGAAACAACCATGAATTATTTTATGATTGTTTCCCCCTCCTTATATGTCAACAAAATAGAGATGATATAACTCCAAATTGAGTCATCTGAAGTCCATGGGAATATTCTAGTATCACTTTTGTATAAAGTGTTCGTCATGCTACTGGATAACCTTTGTGAAAGCTGGTGGGGGAAGGTGGAATCCCAATTGTACACAGAAAAAGGAAATCCTTCAGATTGCTGAGTTGCTCCACTTGCTGCCTTATCCACCAGTCAATCGAACACCAAATTCTAGACCTCTTATGTTTTGAGGGCTGCAAGGACTTGAGTTCAAAAGTTTCTGTTATTAACTGAGACAATATCATTCCTCCCAGTTCTGGCATCTGAAACCATCTCTGTCACACAAAACAAACACAAAATCCTTTAGACTTAAGGGACAAACGCTTTCTCCTCTCCTTGTTGCATTTACAGTAGCCCTTGAATTAGCAAAACTTCCTTTCTTATTCCAAGGGAATATTCAGGAAGGAATAATTGAGAAGCTAACATTTCAGAGCAAAAAATCTTTCAGAGCTGACCCAGTTCACTGTACTCTGGGGACTCCTCGATGCACCCTGAGGTCCTTTCAGCGTGGTCTGTGAAGTCATGATTGTTTTCATAATAATATGAAGATTCCTATTATTGTTGCCTTTTTCAGCCTCCTCACAAGTGCACAGGAGAGCTTTCCACTGTACATTGGGAAGGTCTGCATGACTCAGCAGAACTATGAAGATTCGTATTATTGTGGCCTTTTTCATTCTTATTCTCACAAGTGCACAGGAGAACTTTCCACTGTACATTGGGACGGTCTGCATGACTCAGCAGAACAGCATTTTCCAGATGACTGAAGTGTAATAAATTCATGCAAGAATAAAAGGTCCATTCAAAGTGCCAGATAGTGCAATGGGTTTTAACATAACAGAAAATGAAAGTTCCTTGATAGAATTTCAGATTCCACTGTGTAAAAAACATTTAAGAAACCTCAGCCGGGAACGGTGGCTCATGTCTGTAATCTCAGCATTTTGGGAGGCCCAGGCGTGCAGATCACTTGAGCCCAGGAGATTGAGATCAGCCTGGGCAGCATGGTGAAATTCCATCTCTTAAAGAAAAAAGTGCTGGGTGCAGTGGCTTACGCCTGTAATCCCAGCACTTTGGGAGGCCGAGGAGGGTGGATCACCTGAGGTCGGGAGTTCGAGACCAGCTTGACCAATATGGAGAAACCCCGTCTCTACTAAAAATACAAAATTAGCTGGGCATGGTGGTGCATGCCTGTAATCCCAGCTACTCGGGAGGCTGAGGCAGGAGAATCGCTTGAACCTGGGAAGTGGAGGTTGCAATGAGCCAAGATGGCATCATTGTACTCCAGTCTGGGCAACAAGAGTGAAAATCTGTCTCCAAAAAAAAAAAAAAAAAAAAAAAGAAAGTTTTGGTATTCAAGAATATCCACAATTATCTGCAAAGCTATTAAATACTCCTCACTGTTCCAACTACATATCTGTGTGAAGTCAGGTTTTCTTTATATCCTTCAAACAAGGCTGTATATTGCAACAGACTGAATGAAGAGACAGCTATGAGAATCCAGCCAGACATTACAGAGATTTATATAAGTATAAAACAATGTCACTCCTCTTATTATTTTAGTTTAAAAGTGTGATTCCTTTCCATAAAAATATGTTAATCAAAATTAACATGTAATAAATTATTATTATTTCTAAATATATACTTTAAAATAATTGTTTAACTTTAATGTAAAATATGATAAATGTTGGTAGATAAAACTCACATAAATGAAAGGTCTTTGGAGTCCTCAGTGATTTTGAAGAGTGTAAAAGGTACTGAAACCAAAATGTTTGAGAAGTGTTGATCTGGTCAAACTATCTCATTCAGTAAGTACAACAAAGAGAGCCAAAAAAAATTCAGTGACTTGCCCAAAGTGATGACAATTTTCTGGCAGAACCAAGATTGGGAAGAAATTTTTTGATTCTTAGTTTAGTATTCTTTCCCTTATGTTGTGTAGTCCAGAGTTTCAGCATGTTTTTGCTTGGACATTTATATGTATGTGTGTATATATATATATATTTCACTAACGCTGTCTTTACTGGGGCCAATCTTCAGGTTGTTTTAGTCACACTTGTGAAAACAAGTATTATTTTCATATGGGTTGTTTTCAGTATGAATGCTGACCTATGCAAGAGTGTTCTTAATAAAAAATAACCTATCTAAGTTATTCTGACACATGATTTGGGTTAGTTATTTCTGTAAATATTAGATTGGATTTTGATTTAATTTGTAATGAGAAACCTGTGTTAAGGCAATATCCTAAGAAGTTATGTTTAAGACCATATGCCCCTAGAAATAAATAAAAATGTATCTGATTGACCAAAACTCCAGGGGAGACTTGCGTCCCACTCTGGGCTGTGTCCTCGTCACAGTGAGAAGAAGGTGAAGCTCGTTTCTCTTTTTCGCTTTGCTCCCTGGACAGCGCAAGATAATTCTGTAGCTCACTTCAGGTACTGCATAGCCTCCTATGGCACGCACTCTCCCTTTTCTTTCCCATATAATTATTTCCCCTGGTTTCTGACTTTTATGAAGCATTTTCTGTGTAACTTTGTGCTTTCTTGTGAGCAACCTCACCTTCTTCAGAGACCCTGGCAGGTGTGCAAAAAAGACCCAGATAAAATCTGAGTTAAGATTTCCCGGTAGAGACACAGCCCCTTTGGGCTTGGGAAAATAGGTCTCACAAAACGTAATTTGAAGCAAAATTAAAAAAAAAAAAAGAGAGAGAAAAAGAAAACTTAGAAGTGAGAGTCACAGTCATGTCTTCAGTGTGTTTCTCTCTTTTCTTCTTTAGTTATGGGAGAGTTGTTCATTCCCAATGTTAATCTTGTAGTCGCTGAGAATGAGCCTTGCAAAGTTACTTGTCGAGCCTCGCACTGGACCCGGCTCCCGAATATTTCCTGGGAACTCGGTCTCCTGGTCAGCCATTCAAGCTATTATTTTGTTCCGGAGCCCAGCGACCTTCAAAGTGCAGTGAGCATCCTGGCTCTGACCCCACAGAGCAATGGGACTTTGACATGTGTGGCTACCTGGAAGAGCCCGAAGGCCCGCAAGTCTGCAACTGTAAATCTCACTGTGGTTCGGCGTCCCCAAGGTAAGTGATGACTTTCTGCTTTACATGAAATGAACGATTATTTCATGCTTCACTATTATGTAGAATACTCCTTCATCCACGATGCCTGGAAAAACCATATGACAACCTTGATTTCGGGTAGGGATGATAAGGCCAATCACATCTGCTATCAGCTTAATAATCTTTTTTTTTTAAATTATTATGCTTTAAGTTCTAGGGTACATGTGCACAACGTGCAGGTTTGTTACATATGTATACACGTGCCATGTTGGTGTGCTGCACCCATTAACTCATCATTTAGGTTAGGTATATCTCCTAATGCTATCCCTCCCCCATCCCCGCACCCCACGACAGGCCCCAGTGTGTGATGTTCCCCTTCCTGTGTCCAAGTGTTCGCATTGTTCAATTCCCACCTATGAGTGAGAACATGTGGTGTTTGGTTTTTTGTCCTTGCGATCAGTTTTTTTGCTGAGAATGATGGTTTCCAGCTTCATCCATGTCCCTACAAAGGACATGAACTCATCCTTTTTTTTGGCTGCGCAGTATTCCATGGTGTATATGTGCCACATTTTCTTAATCTGGTCTATCACTGATGGACATTTGGGTTGGTTCCAAGTCTTTGCTATTGTGAACAGTGCCACAATAAGCATACGTGTGCATGTGTCTTTATAGCAGGTGGGACTGTAAACTAGTTCAACCATTGTGGAAGACAGGGTGGTGATTCCTCAAGGATCTAGGACTAGAAATACCATTTGACCCAGCCATCCCATTACTGGGTATATACCCAAAGGATTATAAATCATACAGCTTAATAATCTTATACCCTCATCTGCTTTTAAAATTCCATCTTAAAGTTTTTTCTCTTATTACATTTGAAAGCCATTTAGAATCTTGCCAATTATTTATCATCAAAGAGCATCAAGTTTGGAGAGAAATGCTTGAGTTAAACATTTTTTTTCTGTAGCTTTTACCTGCCACTAGATATAAAGCAATAGATATTGTGGGAATATCCTGTTTACCCACCTAATACAAAAATTTTTTAAAAACTTTTATTTTAGGTTCAGGGTTACACACGCCGGTTTGTTATACAGGTAAACTCATGTCACAGGGGACTGTTGTACAAATTATTTTATGACCTAGGTACTAAGCCTACCCATTAGTTATTTTTTCTGCTCCTCTCCCTCCTTCCACCCTCCACCCTCAGATAGACCCCCGTGTGTGTTGTTCCCCTCTATGTGTCCATGTGTTCTCATCATTTAGCTCCCACTTAGAAGTGAGAACAGGCGGTATTTGGTTTTCTGTTCCTGTGTTCGTTTGCTAAGGATAATGACCTCCAGCTCCATCCATGTCCTTGCAAAGGAGACGACTTTGTTCTTTTTCCACCTACTAACTTTTACATTCATTGATGAATCATTGCCTGAATCAATTACTTCTATGGTGGTTGTAAAGAGTGATTTCCTGCTTCCATTATTCTTTCCATATCTATTAATTGGCTTTCTTTTGTTAAACAAGAGACTTCCCTCCCCTTTCTTCCTTTTCTTTTTTCTTCCTTTTTTCCCCTCACAGTTTTAGTAGGGACTCAATTTTGTTCAATACATTCTAATCTATTCCTGTCATTTTTCATTTTGACACTCAGATTGCTCCAGACGTGGCCAGTTGGTGTCCCTTCAAGCTGGTGCTGGCGTCCTTCTGACATCCCGCTATTAGTTTTCGAGCACCTGGACCCATTAGGTTTTCCAGACTCACTTTGTACTCCCCTGTCTCCACCTGGAATCAGTCATTTTTCCAGGGAGCCAACCTTAAATATCATACGTTAGTCTACTTAAATATGGTAAAGGATGGTCCAGGCTTTGAAAGAGAAGATATTTTAAAATTCCATTAGCACCAAATGGAATAAAATGGACTGGTTAAAGCATATATCCGAACAAGGTAATGATACAGCAGGAGCTCTGGCCTGATTGATGGTACCTTAGAGAGAGAGATTTTAGAGACTGGCTTGCCTGCAAATGTTTTCTTTTGCAGTGGAAGGGAAAGGGAGCACTTAATTTCCCTTTATCAGGTTTAATTTGCTGAATTCTTCTTAGACCAGGACTAGTGCCTTAATGACGGCAGCTGGAGGCATGGCTGCTGGGAGCGGGAGGCTCAGAGGGTGCTTGCAATGAGTCTAGCTTTATTGAACTCATTTGGAAAAGGGTAATTTGTTTCTAAATTATTCATCAAGATCCAGTGCAGCTGATGGCTGGCTGCATGTTATGTGTTTTATGTAAGTTTTATTAGCTGAAGACCTCATTGCAGCCTTGGCTGGCAGAGCTGGTGACCAGACGAGGCTGTAAGAACAGCCAGGTTTCTAGAGAGCCAAGCGTTAATGGGTCTATGCCCATTCAGTCTTCTTCAGGAATCACATAAACATCCATTTTCCCCCCATTTCCTAAAAGTGCAAAGCATTTGTTTTCATTTCTGAAATGATCCCTGCAAGTCATTGAAAGAAGAATGACGTCAACTTTGGAAGCCTATCCAATCAGGGCAAGTCACAGGGTTGTATGAAGTACTTCCTGGTTTATAGTTCAAAAGGTTTCTTTAGAGAAAAGCATTCTGGGAAGACTAACCCTCATTTCAGATCTGTTTTTTAGAAATTGATTTTCTTAACTACCGAAGTGATACAAACCTCGAGCACTGCAGATGTATCCAAAACTAGAGAGTGAGGCCCTCTCACCCTGACTTGGGAGAAGCACTGTCAGAGCCTTCTGCCCCTCGGGGTGCTTTTCTTTGTGCAGTTATTTGTGTGTAGGTTGTGAAATGGTTAAAATGAAGTAGTGTTTTTAGGACACACGAGCACCTTGTAGAATGTAGTGATTCTTGGTTATAACCTTACCGTGTTGAGAAATGGCAATTTTGGGCACAGAGAAGAGTAGTAGAAGTGACAGTCCTGGGCCTTTGCCCTGGCACTGATGGTGCAACTTCGGGCAAGTCAGCAATCTTCAGGGCTCAGTTTTCTCACCTGTAAAGTGGGTAGGAGAAGAATAGAGAAGTCCTCTCTCCCGGCTGTGGGTCAGGGCCAGCAGAGGAGCCTTCTTCATAAATACACTGAGGCTCAGCTGCCTCCTGGGGGTTTTGTTTCATGGGTTTTTGTGGATCCTGGGAATTACAATTGTAAAAAACGTTCCCAAGTTACTCTCATGGGCAGCCAGGATTGGGGGCTACTGAACTGAAAAAAATCTCTAAGGTCCAACCTTCCCATCCAGCCCGATCAAGTGCTTTGTCTACACAGACTTGGACATTAGACAACCTGGGTTCCAGTCCCGGCTCACCCAATCACTAGCTGTGTGTCTTCTGGACAAGTTACTTACCCTCTCTGAGCCTCAGTTTTAGAACAGTCCTTGCCCCAGAGCACACAGGACTGGAAAGGGAGTAATTGTTATCATTCACACTATTGATTCAGAGATCTCTTGTGTCGCCTGTAGCGGGCACAGGGATGTGCTTTGCGCGTGATGGTGGTGACATTTGGTATTCATATGTACTTGGCACATGGTGGTGGCGACATTTTATATTAATACATTTGGTTTCAAGAAATTCTATACCTTTTAAAACCTCTATGCATTCCTTTGAGAGCATCTGGGAAATGCTATCTTCCTTGTCTTCACAGATGGGAAAAGGACAATCTCCAAGCAGAGGTTAAAGCACATGGTAAAGTCAGTAATGTGGCCCTAACAAGCACACAGTGGTGTGAAGGAGCGTAGGGGGAAAGGCAAGCGGCGTTGACCTTGGAGCTCATCTTCGTTAGTCACTATTCAGCTCTAGTGTGCTCATCCTCTCCAGCACACCCGCCATTCACCTGAGCCAGGCACACCCACACCCTCCAGAGGTTACAAGGCACAGACCAGCACCCCACTGTAGACTTTATGCAAATATGTTTATGTCACCTCTGGGCCATATTTTCCTCAGAAGGATTATTCTACATTGGAGACAACACATGGCAGGATGGAAAGATACGAGCCAGGAGCCCTGTGGCTTCCTGTTCTGGACTCCCTGTGCCATTTACTTAGTTCCTCTGTCCTGAGCATCTTGTCTGCATGCAAATTGGATTATGGATGACATCATTCCACGAGTCTGTTTTCTGTCCACTGTCAGACTTTTGATTTGTCAGTAATATATGGCTACCACCTATTTTTCAATCTATAGTAAATGCACTCTTTTTAAAAAAAAATTAGCCCCATACTAAACAAAAATATCCATGCATGTGGGTATACTTATGTATATACATACAATATATGTGTTATACATGATAAGCTTGAAATGGTTATGAAAATAAGAAAGGGCTGTCTGTGTAGCCCCAGCACTAAATCATGCCTCTTGCTGACTTATACGCTACACTTTGGGCTCCACTGGATTAAAGGGAGACTTCAGTTTAAGTCTCACCTAGGCATAAAACTCCTTGGAACATTTGCCTTCCACTGGAGTGTGGTCACAACAAATAGGAAGCGAAAGAGTAAGTGATATGGTTCCTAATACCAGCTCCATTTTGGTCAGCGTTTGGGGCTTTTAACTGAATGCAGGCATCACTTTCTGAACTTTGTGGTTAAATTAAGGGACAAAAGAGTGTTTAAAGTCCCTCTGGCCCTCAGTCTCTCCCTTGACTCAGTCACCACCCCCAGCAAAACGTCCCTTCCCTTCTGTTCAACATGCACTCCCTGAAAATAAGGCAGGCTCTCTGTGCTAGATTAAGGCGGGCCGCCTCCATGCTAGATCAAGGCAGGCCATCTCCGTGCTAGATCAAGGCAGGCCGTCTCCATGCTAGATCAAGGCAGGCCATCTCTGTGCTAGATCAAGTCAGGCCGTCTCCGTGCTAGATCAAGGCAGGCCGTCTCCGTGCTAGATCAAGGCAGGCCGTCTCCGTGCTAGATTAAGGCAGGCCGTCTCCGTGCTAGATTAAGGCAGGCCGTCTCCGTGCTAGATTAGAGGAAATGTCACGTCCAGATTCAGGAAGTTTGTCACACTCATGTTTCTGTCTAGTAGGGGAAGAAAAGTCTACCGATAGGGAGTGTGTGAGTAAGTCCACAAGCATACTGTCTTGTGTCAGTGAGAATTTCAAGCCTGTCTCTTAAATCTTGAGCCAGACCTCATTGGTTAACCCCAGCCAGCTCCCTTATTAAGAAAACTTGTTATATTTGCAAACTTCAGTTCATAAGAGTTTGTTAAATTGGAACTAGGATGACCACTGCCAACTGGAATCTGTGCGCTGTAACTTACAGCATTCTCAGAACTTTCACACACACCCCTGAACAGCCTGGTGGGAAAAGAGCCATTATTGGCAAGTGAGCCAGAGGCCAAAGGTAATGCAGCAAGAAATGCTGGTCATGAGATTTGACTGGTTCCAACCACAGGAAACCTAAAGTTCTTTCTCAGTCACAAACCTCCCACATAGTGGTCCAACCTCCAACTCAAGACTGTGAAGATCATTGATGCAACTCTGGACTTCATCATTTTATTATCACATCTGTGGGAGGGGGAGTGTGAGAGCATCCTGTCATGTCGTGGGTAGCTTGGGCAGTGTTTACATTCTGGCTGCATACAAGGGATCCCCAAAATGTGGGTCACCGACTGTCTGCCTCAGAATCATGGGGGTATCATTCGGGATATCCTGACTCTGTGTCCCCTGAGGTGGGCTTTGAATCTGCATGTGCAGTGATATTCCAGGTGATGCTTGGGATTCTGCTGTCTGTGGAGCAAGGGGATAAATGTGCTCCTCTGCAGGCGAAGGGTCTGCCTTGTGTCAGTGCTTCAACTCTGGGAAGGTGTGGAATGGGAAGGGTGTATTCTGTTCCTTCCGTCTTCACCATTTTTGGGAGAACCCTTTACAAGTCTCTGTCTATTCCAGCTCATCTTGGATGGTGGGAGAGGTGGAGATAGACAGCATTAGGAAAGTAGTTTGACTTCCTTACAATCCTACAGTTCTGCTCTGGGCATCTTACTATGGGGAGAAAGGTGATCCCTAGACCTGGTTCAGCTGCAGCTGACTGCCTGGTGCATAGACTTCTCTTCTCCATGTAGAGTCATTTAACTTTGACACAGGAATAGCCAACTACTATTGCACAGTCAATTTTCCAGGAAAATTATAAGGAAGAACATCTAAGAGCTGTTTTTGAACGCTAGTCTCTGGTTCCAAAGTGGTGGATGGCCATTGATTTCAAGGCAAACCCCATGTTCCTGTTTCAATATTTTCTAATGACTAGTATCTAATGAAATAGCATGCATTTACATTAATATACCACCCAAGCATGCAGGGTTGAGAACTGTCTCTTAATCTTTCCCTTCATCCATGCATCCACCCACCCACCCACCCACCCATGCATCCATCCATCCACCCACCCACCCACCCACCCATCCATTCATCCATCCATCCATTCATCCTATATTAGGGTTCTCTAGAACCTAAATAGCATGCATTTACATTAAGATGCCACCCAAGCACACAGGGTTGAGTGACAGCCTTTCATTGAATAGCAATTCACAATTAAACAGATCAACTTAAATGTGTGTGGTTTGACGTCAGCGTGGTGTGCTAGGGAGAAGCGAAGGGCTAGATGAAAATTTTCTTGCAACATCAGTGTAATTCCCATACTGTCTCTTTCTGTGATGATAAAAATGTTCTACATCTGTAGTGACTGAGCACTTGAAATGTGGCTAGTGCAACTGAGGCACTGACTATTTAAAGACTCATACTTTTAATTAACTTAAATTTGAATTTGGATAATCGTGTGAAGCCACAACAGCTCTGCCTAAGACATAGTGGAAAAGAATCAAAATGGCTTTTTCCTCTGTCCTTCTCTCCCTACATCCATCTTGCTTCCTGATTGCTCTGCCTCACTTTACCCTTTTTTCCTGCTGCCTCCATGACTACTAGGTAAAATAAGAGGGAAACATACACACTAAGGAAGGTGCCTCCTGAAAAGCTATGGAAAAAGCAATTACTGTGTGAGGAATGAATTTGAGGAGTCGGGGAGTTGGATGGGGCAAGGGTGAAAGCCATGAACCTAAGTTCCTTTAGAAGTGACCCTCCCTCAAAATACCCTTGTTTCCTCTGGGCTCTGGATTCTCAACGAGTGGGGACTTGGAAGGGTGAACAAAATGTCTTTATTCCAGTCTTGTCCATTTTAGTGCTCAAAAAGTTTCCTTGATTAAATAAAAGATGTCAAACGTGACCATCACTATGCCAGCCTCAGGGGATTGTCAGCCGAGCCCTGCCTTATCTACCTTTCAGGGATATTAGAGACATTAAACAACCAACACCTGGACTGGGTTACTAAGAAGTTGTTTACTGGCAGAAATAAATATTGTGATGGAAGGTACTGTAGAGTATTGAATAATTAAACACATTGAAAGAAGCTTGACCTATGACGCCTAGCCATAGCACGCTGAATGGTTATAATATTACTAGAACACATAATGCAACTTGTAATGGGGCAGAATCTGTGATTCTAGGCAGTGCAAGTATCACTAAAATATATATTTTTCTCCTTTAGGCACCGGAGGTGGTATTAATATTCCAGGTATATTATCAAGTTTACCAGGCTTAGGTTTTTCATTGCCTACGTGGGGCAAAGTTGGACTTGGATTAGCAGGCACCATGCTTCTGACGCTGACGTGTGCTCTTACAATACGCTGCGGCTGCTGCCGCTGTTGTGGCTGCAAATGCTGCTGCCGTTTCTGCTGCAGAAGAAAAAGAGGTAACTTTTTTGTTCATTTACATTTGTACATACGTCTGAGCTTTTGGTACAAGCAGTTGAAGTTAATGAACTCATCAGCTCTTTCAAAGATAGATGAACCACAATGTCACTTTACCTCTATTAGAATGCTATTATAAAAAAGACAAAAGATAACAGGCGTTGGAGAAGCTGTGGTTGCACACTGTTGGTGGGAATGTAAATTGTTACAGCTTTTGTGGAAACACTATGGAGGTTCCTCAAAAAAATTAAAATAGAGCTATCCTATAATCCAGCAATCCCACTCCTGGGTCTATATCCAAAAGAAATGACGTCTTCATATTGGAGAGATATCTGCATTCCCATGTTCATTACATCACTGTTCACAATAGCCAAGATATGGAATCAACCTGTGTACATCCGTAGATGAATAGACAAAGAAAATGTGGTATATAGACACAATGGAACACTAGTCAGCCTTCAAAAAGAAGAAAATCCTGTCCTTTGCTACACCCTGGAGAGACCTAAAGGACATTATGCTAAGTGAAATAAGCCAGACACAGAAAGGCAAGTATTGTATGATCTCCACTATAGGTGGAATCTAAAAAAGCCAAGCTTGTAGAAATAGGAGGTAGAATGGTGGGCGTTACCAGGGAGTGGGAATGGGGGTTGGGGAAATGTTGGTCGAAGGGCACGAGTTTCAATTAGACAGCAAAAATAAATTCTGTAGATCTACTGTATAGCATGATGACTGTAATTAATTATGATGTATTGTGTACTTGAAAATTGCTAAGAGAATAGATCTTGGATATTCTCACCACAAAATAGCGATGAATATGTGAGATGATGGTTATATGAATTAGCTTGATTTAATCATTTCACAATGTGTACATAGCTCAAAATAGATTCCTTCTAGTCAGTCTATGGATCCACTGACTAAAAACATTAGCAATTTAATGACAGTTTTTTTGTTTCGTTTTGTTTTTTTGTTGTTGTTGTTGGGGGTGGGGGCACAACTGTATCAGTTGATACTATTGGTACATATTGATTGAAAATGTATCTTTGAATTAAAGAAATATGGTAATATTAATATAACAGTGTCTAGTCTGTTAAAACAGTAACACCTACTTTTGAGTTATTGTAAAAATTAAATGAGCTAGTACTTTGTACAGAGCCTGCCTGGTGCTGGCACATGGTAAGAATTGAATGAAGAGCAGCAATGATTGGTAACACAAAACATCTTTTCTTGATATATGGAGTCTTTATAGTCTCACTAATCAAATTCAATATTCACAAAGTAATAAGTAAATACCCCTAGGTATCTGAAATATAGTAAGTACTATATAGTCTATATTTCAGGTACCTAGGAGTTATTTATTTTTCTAATAGTTAACAGTGAATTCTACTCTCCTATGCTTGGAAGTCATTTGATACTTTGGTATGGGAAAACTTAATAATAAACTTTGGGTCACAAATGCTAACGTTAGGTCTGTTAAAATAAGGGAGTCTATAAAAATTAATGGGACTCGATTTTTAGAATAAGTATCCTGATTTTTCTAATGTAATTTTGTTCTTTTCTGCAGGATTTCGTATTCAATTTCAAAGGTAAGTTTGAAACCACATCTATTTTCTGAAAAAAAAAAATTGAACAACAACAATAATAACAATACATACACACAACTGTGGGAGTTTCGGATTTATATTATCCAAAATTAAGTACTGAAAGTAGACAATGCTGAAAAACACGTATGCCAATCACAAACTCATAGGGCAACATTAACTGTGGAATGAAATAGGTGGGTTGCCACTGCCTACCTTTGACTTGCTCTGGTTCACTTAGGGAAATGGAGATTTTCTTAGTGTCTAGCATTTGCAACTCTTTCCACAAGAGGACACTGTGCACCATGACTGTCATCCTGCCTGCTTTGGGTGGAGGCCAGGGCCACCAGCAGAGGTCCTGCTGGAATTTCTGGGGTAGTGGAGAGCAGTGAGCCAAGCGGATGCCTGCAAGGCACGTGAAACTGTCCAGGCAGACAAATTAGGCAGTGTTCGGTGCTCATTCAGCCACGGGGAGTGGACAGGACTGAAAAATTCCTTTCCTTCCCAGGCTGCCCAGAAGTAGCTGCAAGCACTTTTAAGGTAACTGTGTCAAGGACTTATAATAAGTAGCCAGTAACCCTTTTAAATGTCTGCAGTATTAACATAGCCATATGTGCACCAAGGGGAGGGTTTTTTTAGACAGCTGTTGTTTCTTGTGGGTAATATAAGAACACATGTAGTTATCAGTATTTTATTAGAATATTTACATTTTTAAGTGCTGAGATTCTAAAACACCCTTTGGCTACATTCTGTGAATGAATGTGCACCATCACCATGTGGCAAAGGCTATCCCTTCTCCCTCTGATCCCTGGCGATCACGAAGTTTGGAGAGAGGACACCACCAAGGAGCAATCCAAAAATATTTCTCCTTTGAGGCCTGACTTAGGGCTAGGGAAGAGGAAGAAAAATGGACCCTGATAATGATTCTGGCATTTCTCTTGATTGCTACTACTGGCAGAACGGAAGCCTGGACTCCTGGTTCACCGTTGTTGACTGTGCCAGCATCTTCCATTTCTGTTCTCTGGGGTCTTAGGTGATTTGAAAGCACAGCAAAGTGATCAATAGCTAGTCGGGATAGTGGGTAGAGGATAACAACAACTGTAGAATAATGACACTGGGTGCATGAGAAAAGCTAGTGTATCTTGAGTGCCTGATGTACATGCCAGGTACTCACTGCTGCATGCTTTGTAGAGTTGTTTGAATGTGAACTGGGCGGACCTGACCCAGGGCTTGGGCCCTTCTCTATGCAGCCCTTAAAGTTAGGCGAGACTGCATTAAGCTCCAGAAAGACAATGGGGGTTGTCCATTGCATAATCCAATCCCACTTGCTTTCCCCTTTCATGATGTCCATGGTGCTCGCTCCAGCTGCTCAAGGATTTCTTTTGCATTAAAATAATATATATATATGTAGTTGTATGTTTATTATAGAAAAAAATCAATGCATGTTTAAATAAATATAAAGATAGGCACAAGAAATAGTTTTAAAAAAATCACCCACACTTCTATAGTTCCAAAGAAATTATTGTTAACTATGTGTGTACCTACATACATAGTTCATGTATATACCCATAGATATGCACACAAAGCATTTTGTGAAATTTGGATCATAGTAACCATTATTCCATAGCTTGCTCTTTTCACTTGGCACGTTCTGAAGATTATTTCTATTAACAAATACTTGCACACAGCATTTTTGTATTATTTGTTTGATAGTTTTAGATAGATACTTATAAGTACAGAAGAAGTATAAGATAGTTTTAGATAGATACAGATAGTACAGAAAAGTGCACAAGTTGCAGGTGTGTAGCTTGATCAGGTTTCGCAAAAAGCACAAACGCCTGGGCTTGATGGCTGAAAGTCACAGCTAGAACACCCTCAGCATCCCCAGAGTCCCCTAGACCCCTGTCAAATTGCTGCCTACCCCTCCTCCCCAAAGGTGACATTCTTCTGACATCTTTCCCACATCCCCAGAGATGAGGGGCATGTATCAATGGTGTCATTTTGTGTATACTCATTTATGTCTGCCTTCTCGAGCCTCTCACTGTGAGGCTGATCCATACCATGGCACGTGGGTGTCAGTGGTTCATTATTATGTAATATTACATTCTGGGCACATATGCAATGCATTTTTACTTTTTGCTTTAAATGGGTGTTTGAATAGTTTTCAGGTTGGGACCACTGCAAACACTAATGCTCCGGCCAGGCACGGTGGCTCACTCCTGTAGTCCCAGTGCTTTGGGAGGTCAAGGCGGTGGAGCCCTTGAGCCCAGGAGTTGGAGACCAGCCTGGACAACATGGAAAAACCCCATCTCCACAAAAAGTACAAAATTAGCTGGGTGTGTTGGTGCTTTCCTGTAGTCCCAGATACTCAGGAGGCTGACTTGGGAGGATCCTTGGAGCCCAGGAGGCAGAGGTTACAGTGAGCCGAGATCACGCCACTGCACTCCAACCTGGGTGACAGAGTGAGACCTTGTCACCAAGAAACAATAAGAACAACAAAAACAACAACTATTCTGAGTATTACGGTAGGAGTCTTTTGGTGAACATAAGTACTCATTTCTGTTTGGTTCTGACCAAACAGAATACAGCTGGCCCTCTATATCTGCAGGTTCCATATCCTCTGATTCAACTAACTGTGGATCAAAAATATTTGAAAAAATATAGTAACAGTAAAAAATAATACAAAATAAAGAAGCAGTACAGTATAACAACTATTTGCATAGCATTTACATTGTATTAGGTATTATAAAGAATCAGGAGATGACTCAAAGTGTATGGGAGGATGTGTGTAGGTTAATGCATATGCAAATCCTACACCATTTTATATCAGAGGCTTGAGCATTTGCAAATTTTGGTATCTGCAGGGGTCCTGGAATCAATCCCTAGCAAATACCAAGGGAGACCGTATCTAGTCCTAAAAGCTGGGCCAGAAGGTAGCATATCTTCAGCTTTAGACGGTGCCACATGTTTCCAAAGAAGGGGTACAGGCTTACACTCCCGCTAGCAGTGTGTGAGAGCTCTCATATGTAATAATTTTGACAGGTGCCATGGAATTCCATTTTAGAGAACTATCATCATTTATTTAAAAGTCCCCTCTGATTGGGCACTTGGTTGTCTGTGGTTTGCTTTTATAAATAGCTCACAAATCAACATTCTTTCAAGTACATATTTGTACATATCCTTGATTGTTTCCCTAGCATACGTCCTTAGAGGTCAAGTATGACTATTTTAAATTCTTTGGCTATCCATCGCCAGACTTCCTTCCAGCCTCCAAACCCTAGGAGGCTGCACCGACTTTTGCTTTATTTCAGCAGTTGGCATATCTTTTTCCATAAAGGGCTACATAGTAAATATTTTTAGTTTTGCCAGCCATATGGTCTCTGTCATAAGGACTCAACTCTGCTGTTATAACATGACTATGGCTACATGTTTAGGTAGTCGTAGACAATATGTGAGCTGATAGGTGTAACCGTGTTCCAATGAAACTTTACTTACAAAAACAAGGGGTGGGTCAGATATGGTCTGTGGGTCACATAGTTTGCTGACTCTTGCTTTATTTGGTGAATGGTTTCTGAGAGTTGAGGAGCAACTGGGGAGTGGAGTCCATGGACCATGATAAACTTTCATTTCTCCCCATAATGGGAATGTGTGAATAGGCAGACGTCTACACCTGCCACACAGTGACACAGCTATAGGTTGCCTGTGTTAAGTTCCACATGTAAGCATACTCTTGAGAGTAACCATGTGAACTACGTAGGTATCCATTGCCAATTAACGTTTGGCAATGTTAATGTCAACAATTAACATGAAGGGCCAGGCGAGGTGGCTCAAGCCTGTAATCCCAGCACTTTGGGAGGCCAAGACGGGCGGATCATGAGGTCAGGAGATCGAGACCATTCTGGCTAACACGGTGAAACCCCGTCTCTACTAAAAAAATACAAAAAACTAGCCGGGCAGGTGGCGGGCGCCTGTAGTCCCAGCTACTCGGGAGGCTGAAGCAGGAGAATGGCGTGAACCCGGGAGGTGGAGCTTGCAGTGAGCTGAGATCTGGCCACTGCACTCCAGCCTGGGCGACAGAGCAAGACTCCGTCTCAAAAAATAAAAAAAACAAAAAAACAAAAAAAACTTTTAACATGAACATAAAATGGTCTAATTGTAGGAAATCTGAAAAAGAGAAGACAAACAAAGAAACTAAGACAGAAAGTGGAAATGAAAACTCTGGCTACAATTCAGATGCACCAAAGACCACAGGTGAGTAGACAAGAGGGGGTGGTAGAAAGACCTGGAAAAGAGAAAACCGGAAGAAGGGTTGGCTTGCTAGATACCAGCTGCACAGGGAGGACAACTTGACAATGGTGGTTATTATTTTTTGGATAAATTTTAGAAGAAATTCTAGAACTTGGAATATTCTAGGAGTAGGTTAACAGTAAAAATCCACCTATTTGTCTAATGCTTAAAATAAAGTGAGGAAGAACCCTGAAACCTTTAAAAAAAAATTGTTTTTTCCCCATGCTTTCTTTTTTGTTTAAAGCCTTCTACATTAAAACATGTGGGGAGGTATTTTAATACATCGGGGGTAACTGCCTCCCAATTTCAAGTAGAATCAAGTAAGAGATCTGTTCCCCTTGAATGTAACAGGGTGTTGGGAATGCTGGAAAACCAGACCCTCTCTTGGGGAGTCTTGCTGTAGTATCTCATTTTCTTGCCATGAGACAATACAGAGTGATAATGGGATGAGGCCATCTCTAAAACAATGTCACCAGGAAGCAGCAGCAGTCGAGTTTTGAAGGCCAAACACACCCCTGCTCTGCAGGATGAATGGGACAGCTGCCCTCACAGGCTGCTGGGAACACCAAATTCCATGGGAAGGTTTTCAGCCAATCGATTCTCACTGAAGGGCCTAAACACCTTCGTTTTCCACAAAAATTGGAGCTCTATTTTCAGCAGCCCCGTTTTTTTGATTTTACCATGGCTGCCTCCCGTGTGTATTCTAGATTGCATCTTTCAGATTAAAAAAAAATCCAGAGAGCATGGACTGTTTCCTTTGATAATCTGACCACAGCTTCTTGCAGGTTCCTGTTAGTGAATATTTACTCATTAGTATTTTGAGCAATTAATTATCTTGACAAAAATCATGGCCCAAATCAAACATCTCTGTCTCTTCTATCTCCATTTGTCTGGCATTTATCTTCGTTGATCAGCTATTGAAGCTTTAGATCATTTTGTCTCTGGGTGAAACTAATGTGTCGAGAAAGAAATTGATTTTGAGTTAGTTTTCCATATTTTTATTTCTTTAAGGAAATAACGTTCTAAAGGGATGGGATCTCAAGGGAATTTAAAACAAGTGTTTATGGTTAAGGATTATGCCAGGGGTACTACATAAAAGCAAATGTGTTTCTTTATAAATCAGAATTGTTAGAGCACACAGCTTGGTTTTTGCCCCTTAATGACTCTAAAATTGTCCTTTTATTGCAGAAACCGCTTCTCCCCCTCCAAAATCCTGTGAATCCAGTGATCCTGAACAAAGAAGCAGTTGCTGTGGCCCTCCTTGACAGGTGGTTTAGACCATTTCCCCCCTTTTTGGACTTTTTTGGCCATTTAAAAATTCTTACCTTGTGGTGGGTGATTCTAAAATGGTGCACGTTGTGTATTCATGATGGCGGCACATTGCCTTTCCTCCCCTCCGTATCAGTTGGTCAGCGTGGAGAGATGGGGCTGAGACATGGACTGTTTCTTGCCCTCAGTAGCAGTGGCTCCAAGATCAGGGCTGGTTCTGGGTGACAGCTCTGGGTTCACATTTTGGGAGGATGTGACTTGCTTTGGGACATATCCACCTGAGTTGGCATAAGAGTGAGCAGCATATATAATGTGCCATTTGTTCTCGTCGAGCCATGTTCTCCCAGGACTCAAGTCCGTTCTGCTCTCCTGGTTACCCGGCTCCCACGTGGTGCTCATCTGTACTTGGACCCTTGGGGTCTTTGGGCTCACGGAAGGATGTACTGGGTTTGAGGATCAGGACAGAGAAAATGTGGCTTGCTCTGCATGCAAGTTCTATGCTGATAAGCTCAAGGGTTGAAAAAATCCTGTCGGGGTTAGAATTTTAGGGGAGAGAGGAGGAGTCCTTGATGGTTAAGGAATATGGCCAGAATGGCTAAGAGGCTGGAGGTGCCATTAACCTAGATAAGGAATGTTATGGGTGGAGCAGTTTAGGGGGAAAGATCAGACATCTAATCTGGAGCTTGTAGATTCTAAGGTCTCTGTTAGATGTCCACATGGAGACACTGGAAGTGTAGTTGAATTCAGCAGTCTGCAGTTCCAGGGAGAGGCACTAGCTATACATGCTGGTTGGTTGGTTGGCAATGTTTCGACGGGAGCTGTCTTTTCACAGGGTGGTTCACTTAAACTAAACAGTCAACTGGCAGCACTGAGAACATAGTATGTTAATTTGCTGATGTAGAGTCAGCACTGGTTATCACACATGAACGAATTAGCGTTCTTTTTTTTTTTTTGAGGGGAGTCTCGCTCTGTCGCCCAGGCTGGAGTGCAGTGGCACAATCTTGGCTCACTGCAAGCTCCGCCTTCCGGGTTCCCGCCATTCTCCTGCCTCAGCCTGCCGAGTAGCTGGGACTACAGGCACCCACCACCACGCCGGGCTAGGTTTTTGTATTTTTTATAGAGACGGGGTTTCACCATGTTAGCCAGGATGGTCTCGATCTCCTGACCTCGTGATCCGCCTGCCTTCGTCTCTCAAAGTGCTGGGATTACAGGCGTGAGCCACGGCGCCTGGCCTAGAGTTCATTTTACATCCCAAATCATAAATTAGGTAGAATATATATAACCAATACCCCTTTCTGACCTGTACAAATGCAACTTTGAACAAGAAGTATTTCAATGAGATTCTGTGATTTTTGTCCCCAATAAGTATAGATGCTATCTTCTTTTAGCTTTTGGAAAAGGTAAACTTGCAGACTGGGTTTCGGATAGCACACTGGGCCAGATGGGTTGGGTTTGTTCTGCTAGGAGCTGCTTTACCTGAGGGGACCGTGCTCAGCAGGTGCCTGTGCGGCCCCTGATCATTCTTTCTTGGCACAAGTATTTACCTGAGTTTCCAGGGAGTTCTGGGAAATAATATTCCTCCCTGCAATTGGGATTCAGCTCAATAACCTACATCTTGCAAGTGATGTGTGTTTTTCAGGCCTGGAAGGAGAAAGGGAGGGCTGATTGATGCTCAGTCATGTACTGGGAAACCTAAGATGATACTATTAATATTAGTGTCAATACAGGTAGCCAGACAACAAGACATATGAGGGGCCTGGGGTGTAAAGGAAGCTGTGCCTGAGTAACAAATCGTTAGCTCCTGGTACAAGTTCCAGCGACTTTCAGGCTGGGTGTCAGGAAAATGGAGAGGTAATGTTTTTTTCCATCAGGACCACTCTCTTTGGCCCTGATGGAAATCTTTTGATGCATTTAATTTGCATATATCTTTTGATGCATTTAATTTGGAGCTGGAAGGGAAGGTGATGCAAACAGGTTTCCTTTAGAAGGACGTCTCTGAGTGAGAGGTAGCGGTGGAAGGGAGTAATTGTCAGGCTGTGAGGTGGCTGGCTGAGGGCTCTTTCCCACCCCAGCTCCAAGCACGGACAGCCAAGAGCACATTTAAGCCAACCATGATTTCCACAGCCCTTCTGTGGTTATCTTTGTCTATGAAGTGTGTTTCTATCAGACAAGCCAAAGTGTTCAGGTCTGGTGCTGTGGGGAGGGTATAAGCTGAGAGGAGATTCAGAATAGGGTCATGCCATGTAATTCTCTTTGAGATACATCTAGTATGAATGAGGAGGAAGGGGAACGTGAGGTGCATTTGGATACCCGAGTGGAGGATGACGTTTTGGAGTCGGAGTGATGCTTCTTGATGCTCGTAGTGTTCTTTTGAACATACACAGGGAGAGAAACTTAAGAGGTTTCTGCTACTGGAACATGTGCCCAGCTAAATAATCAATTGGTGGAAAAAGAACAGTGACCCTCGAGGTGCTGAGCCCTGGGGACTGGTAACATAGCCTCGTGTTTCTTATTTCCTGAAGGGTTTGTCGTCTTCTAGGGGAGCCGGGCACCTCATCAGAGAGTGCCAAGGCCCTTAAGAAACAAATCAGGACTCTAGGAAGTTGAATTATCTTTGGCTGGGCTAGAAACTGGTGAGGGTTATTAAATAACTGGATCTTTCTACTCATTGTGGGGGGACTTTAGGACAAAGTCCTAAAGAAGAGGTCTATCTTTGATTATGACCAAAGAAGGACTTTGCAGTCATGGGCCCAGGCACGGCCTCCACGTTGCCCATTTGGAGAGCCTGGATACAGGATGTACCATGGGCCATGTTTCCTGGGAGGCACTTAGAGGAGGAATGAGCAAAATGGGCCACAGGGGAAAGGCTGGGCCTGGGGACACAGCCGTTCCCTTCCATTTCCTTGGTCCAGAGAAGACATAGACCTTGTTGTGGTCAACTGGCCACTTGAGAGCTGCCAGAACGGTGAAGCCACAGCTTGTAGAAGCAGTCAAGGTGACGTTGGCACAGAGGTTCCTTTTAAGAACTTCCCCAGGCCCTGCAGCCCTGCCAGGCCTCTGTCACCAGGTTCTTGCTGTGTGGGCTGATGAGAACCTCCGAATTCTGAATTCCTTGTTCCAAGGTGTGAAAACAGTGCAACTGTGCCTTCTTTTCTCAAAACTTTCTCCATTCTGCAATAAGCCTTAGTTCCTTATAGGGCCCAGGAGAGGCAGCTGAGAGCTATTCAGAGCGCCATCTCAGTGTTCCTTTCATCCTCCTCTCCGCATGCCTCAGTATGACTCCAATTTGTCAGAGCCTCCCGCGCTGCTGCCGCATGTTTCCTGCACACAGGCCTCCCAGGCCCAGAGCTGGGGCCCAGCAGGGCTCCTGCCCGAGAAGCCGGCTTGTTAGAGTTCAGGGTTGTTGACTACAGATTGCACTATTTTGCAGACACCCCGCATGAAGCTCAGGTCCTGAAAAGCCTGTAGATTAGACTGAAAGATCTCAAGCTGTGAGCCAGCCTGACGCAAATGCTTTTCCGATCACGGTTGCTGAAGAGCTAGTTGGGTCAGATAAATGGCCTATCCATGGAGACGCGGCAGGCACAATAGCAACTAAAGCTCCTGCTTTGTCTTAATAGATCGCAGAGCAGGATAGTCGGTTTTGTGAACAGGACGGCAACTGCTGATCACATACACTTGCTCTCTGCTTACGCTGCATTCTTCTCTGCTGAAACTGGGGATCTGTTAACACTCAGCAGTTTCTGGAGGACTTAACTAATGGATGACGGCTAGTCCAGCATTTCTAGGTGCTCAATAAACAGTTACTCATTAAAGTGGGGATTACCTTCCATGCCGAGCATTACGCTGTCACAAGCAAGGTACTATAAGGTGCGTGCATGTGCAGATAGACAAAGTTCCTTTGCTTTTTTCTTTTTTTTTTTTGAGATGGAGTTTTGCTCTGTGACCCAAGCTACAGAGCAGTGGCGTGATCTTGGCTCACCGCAACCTCTGCCTCCCGGGTTTAAGCGATTCTCCTGCCCCAGCCTCCCGAGTAGCTGGGATTACAGGTGCCTGCCACCTTGCCCAGCTAATTGTATTTTTAGTACAGACGGGGGTTCACCATGTTGTCTAGGCTGGGTTCGAACTCCTGACCTCAGGTGACCTGCCCACCTCAGCCTCCCAAAGTGCTGGGATTAGAGGCGTGAGACAGCGTGCCCGGCCTTTTAAAAAGTTTTTTGAGACATGGTCTTGCTTTCTTGCCCAGGCTGGATTGCAGTGGCACGATCATAGCTCATTGTAACCTTGTACTCCTGGGCTCAAGGGATCCTCCTGCCTCAGCCTCCCAAAGAACTAGAACTACAGGCACTTACTACCATGCCTAGCTAATTTTAAACATTTTTTTTTTTGTAGGAATGGGGGTCTCACTGTTTGCCCAGGCTGTTCTTAAACTCTTGGCCTGAAGCAATCCTCCCACATGGGCCTCCCAAAGCATTGGGATTACAAGCACGAGCCACTGCACCTGACCCCTACTTCCTTTGCTGTTAATCCCAATCGGTTATGACAAAACTGTGATTAGATCACTATAGATGAATATACCACCTAAAAATAGCATCATGTTTTGGGTCATTTAGAAAAGTTAAATAATTTCATATCAAACTGCCTTCCCACTCCTTTGTGATTGGGGACACTTTGGTTTTCTCCAGGGGTCCATTGCTTCAATACGCCCCCAGGATGGGGAAATTTGATGTGCCAGGGTTGGCCCACAGGTCGTTGATGAGGCCCTTGGGAAGTCCAGATTCATGGTCTTCACCTCTAGACATCAGGACTCAGGGAGTTGAGGAGGTGTTTAAGCAGCTCTGCTTTTTAGGTCAACTCAGTGTGGCTAGACTTAAGGGTTATTGGTTACCTTACAGCAAGAGGTGAATCAGGAGTTTTGGAAAGGGAAGAGTGGCAGGTCCCCAAGCACCAGTCTGCCTCCTCCATAACTTCACCTTGCCCGACGGGTACTCAGCGATTTCGTTTTGCTCAGCATCCTGAGGCCTTCATAATGGCCTGTGCTTACCCACCTGGAGTGGGTGCTACTGGGGTTGGTGGTGCCCGTGCTCTTGCTCTCTCTGCTGGGAGTTAGCTATATTTCTGCAAGTAGAGAAGTGTCTGGACACTGAGTCTGGAGTCTAGGAAGGCACCCAGCTCAGGGTGGTGTATGGCGTTAGTTGGAACAGCAGGTTTCCAGGTTACTTGTACTACCACCTTCAATGTGACAACCCTCCAGCTCTCTTCCCGGAGTCGTACACATCTGTGTCTACATCTCAAGGCTGCTGTGGGTCTCTGCATACGGCATCTTTGTCATGAATCACCCAGCTCAATTTTAATAACATCCAACAGTTACTAAAACAGGAAACTAGAACTTGAATATTTTAGGAAAGGACAGAATTTGCTGCTGCCCCAGCCTCCCATAACTCCTGCCCCTTTGGCATCCTTTTAGTTAAGGGCCAGCATGCCAAGAGCACACACTGCCATGGAGACGAGCAAGACAAGACGCAGTGGTGAAACCATGTTTTCAAACCCTTAGTTATCCCCTGATGCTTTCAGTGCCTGGAATCCTTAGAAAACTTCAGAAAAGTGGGGGCATGTCTCAGGAGCAGTGTCATGGGAGACAGGCTGGGGTTGGAGTTTTGACCCACCAAAGACCAGGCACTGTGGCCAGGAACTACAGGCACAATGGCTGACATAGGCCGGGTCCTCAGGAGGACGCTGGGTTGTAGACAATGGGAAGAGGCACCAGTTCCTAGAATTCTTGGCCCCCAGGCTGCCTGGAGCTCCCTCTTTTGCTCATCTCCATCTCTAAGCACCCTCTCCTGCCAATTTCTTCCCTGAACATGAGACTTCCTGCTCAAGAAATGGGGCAGTTCTTGTTCTTGCCACCACCTGGCAGAAATGGTGGATGTATTTCCTGAATTCTCTATTCCAGTTTTCCCAAAGAATGCTTGCTGATCATGGAGGTGCACCCGGTGCCTATAAATACCTCTGCCTTGCTACCCTGCTGGCGTAGCAGCAGCTCCCAGTACAGCTCTGTGCCAGGAACACACTGGGTACTTGTTAAAATGCACACTCTTGGGCCTCCGCCAGACTTTCTGGATCAGACTGTCTGGGAGATAGGGCCAAAGAATGAGTATTTTTATCAGATTCTCCAGGTGATCTGCTTTGAGGTGATCTGCTTTTTGTCTCAGGGTGAAAACTCCACAGACAGGTATAGCATTGTTTCTAAGGGAATGTGTTCCCTGATATCTAGAAGTCTTCCTGCAACTGTGCATTGAGAATGACTTGCACCTCGTGTGCCTGCTCCACTGACCTTGCTGCAAAGCACAGAGAAGAGTTTGAGATGCTTATGGTGGTGCCATGATCAATGCCAAATGAAAGGCCTTGACACCAAATACTCCACTGTCCATGTGGCACCCTACCAGGGGCACTTATTTAAACCTTCCATATTTTAGATGGGTCCTAAAGCACATTACATTAAACATAAATGAAAAAGTAGAATCCTAGACTGTAGAGACTCAATCATGGATTAAATTGTAAGAAGGGTCAGAAGGAAAAGAAGATCGATTTTCAAAACTGGCATATACAATATGACACTTTTCTTCTCTGATTATTTCTCTGATGACTGAATCTACAGTTAGAATACGTAGTACTGACATGGTTTTCTAGACAAGAGTTTCCCTATTGGTTAAATAGAATGAATTTGGGTGTAACTGTAGCTCAAACACATCAGGGTAAAAGTAATAAGTAAAATTAGAAATTCTTACTAAAATTTGTGATCAGTTACTGGGAAAGGCATGCTTTTTTATTTTTATATGAAGCCAGGGGATTTGCAAATGTTTTGTATTTTAGTGAATATTTAAAACAAAGAATCCTCCTTTTCCTCTCTTTGTCCTGTGCCTTAACTCACTGTCAGTGTATTTTTCTGGTTGTTTTAGGAAATTCTCTGTCTCTGTCATTTTCGGAAGGTGGGCATATGAACAACTTGAGACCTGGATCAAGTCTTCCCCACAAATCACCCCCTCATTGAAACAAACAGAAATACATACTTGATAAACTTAGAAAACAGCGATGTTTGCACAACCCAGCAGTGAAAACAAAAGCAAACAATGCAGGAATCTCTAGCATATTCGCAGCAGAAGGCGCACATCTTAAAGCATTGCTGACATAGTTTCATCTGCTGTCCAGTTTTTTCTGTTATCGGGAGTCAACAAATTAAAAGCATTAACCAGAGTAATTCTAACCTCAAGACTCGCTAGCATTCCATTGCAATGTGAATAATTTATCATGCCCAGTTACATTATTTAATATGTTAAATGCAGCTTCTGTGCCCTGGAACCTGAGCTGCCATTCTCAGGACTGGCAGGAAAAAGGTTTTGCACACATTTTAATAGGGCAATGTTATGAGACAGGCATTGGCGACTCTGGAGGATTAAATGGTTGGTTTGGGATTACATTTCTGAATGAGAACAGGGAAGACTATGTTTCTCCCTGATAGGAAAAGGAGACAGATGGGTGATCTACCTGGAGTCAGTTCTTCAATTTTGTCCCCCTCCTCTAAAAACAATGCGTGCTCTTTAAGAAGCTTAGAAATATTTTATATTTTCATAAAAAAATCTAGTCAGTAAAGCAAGAACTTCACAAATCCTGATTCTTGGAATTGGATTGCTCTTTAGGACCTGAACTTGGAAAACTTCTATATTGTGTGTTATCGGAAATAATGCAAGAAAGGAAGAGCTTATTTTAACATTTTTGTTCCTCTCTGTACCTTAATTTTATCTTAACAGATGAGTGAAGCTTCCTTTTCAAGTATGCATTTTACAGTGATCTCAACCCACTAAACTGACTTTTTTTCCTCCTCTGTTGCCAGGAGGCTGATCAATGTCCACCCAGACCAGCAAGTCATCCACAGGCTTCTTTTAATCTGGCCAGTCCTGAGGTCAGGAATACAATTGTAGTATAGCAAAGACTTCCCCAAGCTCCACTGAGCACTTGGCTGACAATTTACAACACGGCGATGACATCCTTCCTTTCCATCCTGAGACTGGCCTGCAGCTTTGCCAACATTACCTGAAGAGGAGATGTCAGAGTCATCAGAACTGATACTTGACAGTGAGAGAAGGAATTGATTTTTCCAGATTTCAAAGTAGAATGTGACTTTTAAGAGGTTTCAAGGTTTTTGTGAATTCCATGAAGTTACTAAGTAAAAGCTGCAAATTCATCATAATTTTTCTTAACACTCAACACTCCTACTTGTGAATCCAACAAATGGTAGATGAAAGTCTGTATTCTACCATGACTTTCAAAAGTTTTTATTATCTTAAAGCATATGAAGATGATATTTATGTATATTTAATATGTAGGGGTATTATTACATATTATTAATGAAATACAAGTATAAAAATTAGGGTCAACCAAAAATCTACAATTGACTTCAAAACTGAGCTCAGTTAAAGTAAGATTCAGTTCTAACATGGATGTGCATGTTCCTAAATATCTTATGATTGAATATTTACATGAAGACATTCATTTTTATCTGCCCCCTTATCAAACCTATTTGCATCTCCTCAAATGAAAGAGATACGGCTTATGCTTTGCAGAGGATGGACCTCACCTACTCTGCACACCATGAAAAAACTGGAAATGGGCATTGTAGTATTTAATTTATAAAAACACCAAAAAATGTGTATTGCCTTTAACTCTTCACTATTCAGGTGGTAGTTTAAAGAATCACAGTGTTCAGGAATCAAGCCTTTTCTGAGATGGAAAACAAGAGCCTTTGGCAAAAATCCTTCCCATCTTCACAGTTATCTTTGCTGACTGTACATTCGCCTCATTGAAAGTTAACATGAATGTTATTATGAAGAATAAATTGCTGCCTTTGCCAAATATTTTTCTTTTTCCATGTAGATACAGTCAGTGAATTTCACTGCTCATTCTACCCCTTCATATTTAACCTAGAGGCAAGACTGTGATTTGACCGTGCTCTGAACTGGTTGGTGCAGATTTCTATGCTGGTTATAATTAGCAACTGCTTTGAGGCCCTCAAGCTCAACCATGCTATTGCTAAAGTAGAATTTGACTTTTAAAATGTGTCAGGATTTTAGTGAATTCCTTACAGATACTTAGTAATAGATGCACATTTGTCATGACGTTTCTCATCACTCACTCCTGCTTGCTAATCCAACAAATGGTAGAGAAGTCTTACACTACCATGATTTATAAAATACTTTTATAATCTTAAATCACATTCAGCCCTACCCTGGACTGTCCTATAAACTAACAACTAACTGAAGGGATGTATTAGTCTGTTCTCATACTGCTAACAAAAACACACCCCAGACTGAATAATTTTATAAAGAAAAAGAGGTTTAATGGACTCACAGTTATACATGACTGAGGAGGTCTCACAATCATGGTGGAAGGCAAAGGAGGAGCAAAGGTACATCTTACATGGTGGCAGGCAAGAGGGAACTGCCTTTATAAAACCATCAGATCTCATGAGACTTATTCACTACCATGAGAACAGCCCGGGGAAAACCCACCCCTATAATTCAATTTCCTCCCACTGTGTCCCTCCCACAACATGTGGGGATAATGGAAGCTACAATTCAAGATGAGATTTGGGTGGAAACACAGCCAAACCATATCAAAGGGTATTTCCTGGCACCATGTGGAGCTAGGCATGTGTTTTGATAGGCTTATGCTCATACTGTATCCATTCTGATTGGTCAGTGCCCATACAATGTCTGTTCTAATTGGGCAGTGTTCATGGCTTACTGGTTGTCATCCATTTTGAGTATCATCTCTGCTTAGAGGATCCTGAAAAAAAAAAAGGTCATCTCTTCTAGGACCATGTCCCTAATGTGAGAAAATTGGCTGCCTAGATTCTAGGGAGTAGAACTGAAATGCAAAATCTCAAAAACCCATAAATATTGCTATATCATATTCCTAAGAGTCTTTTCAAGGGAAAAAGTTGCCAATTCAACCGGTCAAAAATGAGACTCATTTATTATACTAATTTCTTTATTCCCTGTCAAAATGGTTCTGACTTTTCACTATCATTCTTGAATGGATACAAGGAGAAGAGAAAGACAAGAAGGTTCTTGAGTCTCTTTAGGCAGAGCTAGTGGGTGAATGCTATACTCTTCACTTAATAATTTATTCTCCTTAAACCACCACAGAAGTCAGATCCTAAGATAAGGCAAATGACATGTCATTTATGCCTTTTGTAACTTTTGCAGCACCTCCTATTACTGCAAGTGTTGAGTAAATATTGACATCAAACTGGTCAATATTAAGAAAGGCTACATATTAAATACAATAAATATTTTTGATTTGCTTGCTGCTATAAGAAGAATATTTTGTGGCAATTTTGAGAGTCCAAGGGGTTGCATATAAAATATAATTGAAATTTAAGTTTTGAAATCTGGAGGACAATGGTAAATAATTTCCACAGAAGGTTCTCCAACTTAGTACATGCTTGTTGAGTCACACTCAAACTATTCTTCATTTATCAGATTATGGGATTTTTTTGTGGTATCACTTATGAATAGGTTCTTCTTACTGAATCTTACTCCAGGAGTAAGGTTTCTCAAAGGGATCCCCTGGCCAGTTTTTATTTCACATTAGGTAGATGCATTACTTGAACAGAACTATCTAGAGTTGCACTGTCCAATACTGTAGCTACACAGTGCTATTTAAATTATTTAAACTAAATATACAATTCATTTTCCCGGTTGCACTGGTCACACTGCAAGGGTTCAATAGCTACGTGTGACCAGTGGCTACTCTACTGGACAACGCACATGGTAGGTTTCCATTGTTGCAGCAAGTTCTGCAGGAATGCTCATCTAGAGATAGCTACTTGGAAATGACCTTGATGTGTCATATCATCTTCATATGCTTTATCCTTTTACATAAACACACAATCTGTGTTTTCTTCAGTGTATGTCTGTGCACTCAGCCAGTTTCTATTTAGGAATCCTACAACACCCAAGGCAGCTCTCAAGAGAAAATGGTGTTTTGCTGATGTGGTAAATTTCCATCTCACTTCTGCAATGCAGAGAGCTGTGGCAGGCTTAGGGGGGTGGGATGAGAGGAGTCAATCAAAGCAAAACTTCATGGTCAAGGTTGTTTCTCAGGAAGATGCAGCTCTCTGCTAATGAATGTCCTATGAGGGCTGCAATTTTATTTAAACAAATACCCCTTAAAGTTTTATGCCATAAAACCCTAGCCAGGGAAACCATACCTGCCCATCCCTCCCAGTCGTCTTTTACTTCGGTTGGTCTGTCAGATTCCAAGCAGGACCCATGTGATCAAGGCTCTTCCATAGTTTACTCAGGGTAGGACCTAAGTGGTGATGCCAATGCCTTGAAGACAACTGGAGAGCTTGAGAGCTTCCTCTGCTCTGTGTGGCCCTGACCTTGTAAAACTGTTAGGGACACTAAAGTTTGGTCGCATGTTCCTAAGAGTTTAATGACATAAAAGGTTAATGGATGAGGCTGGACGCAGTGGCTCATGCCTGTAATCCTAGCACTTTGGGAGGCCAAGGCAGGCGGATCGCTTGAGGCCAGGAAGTGGACACCAGACTGGGCAACATGGTGAAACCCGTCTCTACTAAAAATACAAAAAGTAGCCAACTGTGCCTGTAGTCCCAGCTACTTGGGAGGCTGAGGCACAAGAAGGTTTTGAACCTGGGAGGTGGAGGTTGCAGTGGGCCGAGATCGCACTATTGCACTCCAGCGTGGGTGACAGAGTGAGATTCCATCTCAAAAAATTTTAAACAATGGCCAATAGATGCTTCAGAGCAAACAAGAGATACCATGCCAGTACCTGAACCCCTCTGTTAAAGTGCTTGTTGATGTCTTTGGGGAAGAACACCATCTTGTGTGAAGATGAAGGATGGTCCGCTCTGTGGGACATATGAGAACTTGAAGAGTTCAGAGATGGGAGAATCAGGTGAGAGCAGGACAGGAAGCAAGCGTTCAGGGGAAGGTAATGTGAGGTGAAGGTCTTGACAGGCAGGTGGTCCAGTAAGCTGGGAGCCATGCCTATAGGCCTGAGGAGCTGTTACCATCCACTGGACCAACGGGGCAGAGAGAAGATGATGGGCCAGTGTGGAGAGTCAGAGTGACAGGGCTCCAGCCATCCATTCTCTCCTTTCAGTCTCCTGCGTGTGCCTCCCCCTGATCACACCCAACCAGAGCCAGAGGTCCTGGAGCCCATCAGTGTGGTCCATATGGGTCAGTCCCCTGGGAGGACTGTGCTGGATGCAGAAGGTGGGAAATGGATGTGGAGGGGCAGGCAGAGCATTTAGCAAGGAGAAATTGATGAATGGAGAATGTAAAGCAGATGGGAGGAGAATGAATGATCCATGTAAAGTCAGAAGGAAGGGTGTTTTGCCGCTGGTGCTCCATTGCTTACCTTCCTTAGGGATGAGGCCATTTACTGAGAAAGGTGTAGGGGCTAAGAACTCAGCTCACTGAAAGCTTGCTGAAAGTCCTTTACATGCTGCAGATGGGTAGGAGAAAAGGCATACAAATTTATTTAATGTATGTATAAGGGAGCCTTCAGAACAAAGACCCAAAGATGCAGGGGAAATTATTTTTATGCTTTGGCTTAACAAAGTATAGACTGCCATGTAAAAATGTGATTGGACGAAAAGGGTAGGACCTAATGCTGATAGACTGAGTGGGGAGATCCAGCATGACCTGTCTGCCTAGATTCTTCTTGGCCTCTCGGAGTATCATTCCTTCCTGCTGGGCATGGGGCAGGACTCACTCTGGAATGGGAGTCTTGTGACCTGCAGTCAAGCAAGATAGGTCAGATAATTTCCTCATGGCCAGTTTTTATGTAGAATATGTTTAAGTGTTATGGCTGGCTTTAGAGAAAAGGAGTTCTGGTTTCTATGGCCTGCCTTGGGAAAGAGGGATTATTGTTTCAGCTCGCCTTGGGAAAGAATGAGACTGAGAGACAAGAGGGCAGGAAAAGGTCAAATAAAAACTTCTGCTTCTGAGGCCTTCACTTTGGGGTATTGTTTTCTGAGCCCCAACAGAGCATCACTGGGAGGAAAGGAATTTGGCTGCATTGAACTTGAGTAGCTCCCATCTTTGTTGCCTACTTCCATCTTAGTAGAAAAAGGGAATTGGATGGCAGGCCCTTGAAGTCCCTTCTGGCACTTATCTTCATAGAGATATTCTCTCTCACACACACACACACACACACACACACACACACACACACACACACTCATCCTCACCTGACATGACCCAGCTGTTAGGACCGAGGCTGCGCTGTCTGAATGCGTGCAAGCTTCCCTTGTCCCTGCCGCATTGGGAGGGAACTGTGTTTTTGCGGACGGTAAATATTTAATTCTCGCCTAGCACAGTGTGTAAATCATGCCACAGGTGGTGATAGCCTCAGGGAAAACCCGCTTTCCAACATTTATGAAGCACATGCTCCGACTTCAAGCACAGACCTTTACAAAATGCAGAGTGTGGGGAAGCAGGCTGGGTCCCTGGCTGAAAGCAACCAGAAAATTGTCATTCTTCTTTTCTTGGGGAAGCCATGTCATTTATAAAAATACAATGGGATTCTGATCCTGAGGACTGGTGGGAAGATTTGTGAGAATTATTGCCCCGTCAATGTTTTCAGACATTCGTGCTCTGCCTCCTAAGAATACTGGGTTGACGCAGTGGAAAATTGATAAGGTTCCAGGAAACTCTATGGGGAAATGTAGTACAGAATGCATTGATTCTATTTCTCTTCAGAAACCTTAAGGATGTATGCACAGGGAAGTGCATTTTGGAACAGGAATGTTTACCCAAAGCCTGTACCATCATTTTGCCTTGGAAGTAAATCACTTGTCTTTGGTTTTACAAGCTCAC